TTCTGTGATCACAAACACACAGAAACACACACACATGCACGTGGATCTACTGCACATGCTTAACACACACTGAACACTTAGATGGAAATAGAAACCACTTACTCTCTCCTGCACCAAACCTTATAGAGAAAATCAGTGATTTTAGTTCAGACCAAAGTCCATAGAGGAAATCTGTGATTTTAGTTTAGAAATTCTCTTTGGAATATCTCAGATTTCTTTTCTATGTACGTTGGTGCAAATTAGTTATAAACGTCTGTCTAACACTAAAATGATGTAAACTAAAATGAGTTGTCTTTTACTTTTACTTCAGGCTGACTTTTTTCATGGTGTTTTTTTTAATTAGCTGGAATCTGGTTGTCTTGGTGTCTCTGAAGAAGGTTTCCTGACTCAGACCTGATGATGGTCTTAAAACAGTAATTATGTTGTTGAGTCCTTTAGCAGTTAGAAGTTTTTCAGACTAGTTGCCTCCACACCCACCAGAGCACCTCCCACCTCCTCACAGAGAGATGCCGATCGTGTAACGGTTGCTGCTGGTGAACAGAGTCCACTCAGCCTCTCTCCTGGTGGGAAGACGATGGAGCTGTAACAAAATGACTCTTCTGTTTAAGTGATTGTTTGAAAACAGATGAATGGGGGAGGATGAGGGGTGAGGAGGAGTAGTGAGGATTAGAGGTGGCCATGTTCACAGGGATGATGAAGGTGCAGTGAGGTCCATGGTGTTCTTGTCTGGCGACGACTGCTCTGACAGTCGGACCATCGATCTGTGCTGGACGCCTCAGTCAGAGAGCAGGTGAGTCAGGGGTGAGAGCCGTCCGACAAACAGGAAGTTGTTCCCTTTAACACCGTAAACACAGCAACATGACCAGGATATGTCAGAAAATTATATTTTTGTATCATAATATCAATTTATTTCTCTAACAAAACCTGTTGTAAATGCAGATCTTCATCAGATAAGGTTAATATATTTATTTTAGTCGAGATTAGTTGGACGAAGCTGGTGTAAAGAAAAGAGTCAAGAGTCGAGATGAAGAATGAAGTGAGTCTGGAAACAATGACAATGTTTAAAAAACTGTTCACAGTAATCTGAGACAAAAGGAATCCAAATAATACATTAATGACAAGATTTTAAAGAAACAAATGTCACTTTTGGTTGATAGTGTTTTTAAATATAAAGTGAAGTATTTTACATGAATATCAATTATTTGAAATGAAATTCAGTGTCACTAAACCTGGAGCAGTGGAGCTGAGGAGAGTCAACGCTAAAAGACACTTCTTTGTGCAAACACACACACTCACTAAGTGTGTGTAACAGTGCAGGTGAATAATGTAGCAGCTGACGTAGCCTGAGTCAATATTTGATCTTCCTGCTGTAGAGTGTTCCTCAGTCTGATCTGTTGAGTCCTGGTTCTGATGTTTCAACAAAAACCAACATGTGTTTTTGGCATATATTACCCAACATGCAGCAGCATTTCCAGTTGAGCAAACACTCCCCCTCCTCCTGACCTCTGACCTCCACATTCCCACTTCCTTCCTCTCTGTATAAAACTGAACCTGGATTCCAACCCAGTGTCTGCACACATCGTAAATCCTCAGGTGCAGATCTGTTCAAAATGGCTGTCATTCCTCCCACACAGCTGCCTTCTCATCCCTGATGCTTTTATTGATCGCTGAACTGATCACTGTTTTGAATCAAACACTCTCACCAGTCTGTCCTGGTCCTGGTCCTGTTCAGGTCATAAACATGAGTGTATGACAATCTGCATGTGTGTGTGAACATGTGTTTCTGTGATTTATGGACAATGTGTGTGGACCGACCACATGACTCCACACGTATGTGTGTGTTATTTTTATCAAAAGAGAGTAAGCCACACACACACACACATACTTGCAGACCACTCCAAAATTAAATCGCAAGTTTTATATCCGTAAAGTCAACTTCATATAAATGTTTGTAAAACACCATGTGTGTGATTCTTTTATAACAAAAAGTTTATTAGTTTAGCATTTCAATACCTGACATAATAATCAAACACCTGATAATTAGACATTCAGGTGGCGTTACAGAACAAAATGTTGATTTGTGTTCTCTATTTTTCATTTGTCATCTTTTTACTACCACATGTGTACAAGGACTGTTGTCGCTAACATTAGATCTGGTGTCTGTAGCAGGACTGTAGTTGTTCTCTGCCGTTATGAAATCAGTAACAGTTACAGTTACAGTTACAGTATCACTGCAGCACCAGCGTCTCCTCCTACCCTCATGTTGAAGACCATAACCATCAGACATAAATCAGCAGCAGACGTTCAGGGTCAGGTCGTCGCTGACAACACAACAACCAGCTGAAGTTGTTTTCACCTCTGTCCCGTCACCTTCGTCCTTTCACTGATGATCAGTTTAAACCACGACACACACTGGTGTTTTTAGTTTCTGGTTCTCAAGGTTAGCTGTGTGTGTGTTTGATAGTGGAACTATGTAAAGTACCAGTTCATGTGTCTTTGTTTGATAAATAGTTCTTCATGTACAGTTCTAATGCAGATGGATCGTAGCTGTGGTCAAACTGGAGGGTCTGGTTCTACTGGGTGTATGAGTTATAAGTTATGTAAAGGTAGACCACATGGACAGATGTCCTTCTGTGATATGAGTTATAAGTTATGTAAAGGTAGATGTCCTTCTGTGTTGTCTTTTGTTTGTCTCCACTGACATCTCCTACTGTCTATGATGGTGGCTCAGTAACTCTGGTAGCAACAACGGACTTCAGTTTCCACACGTCTCAAATGAGATGTTTCTGTGGGCAGGAAGACAAACCCCAGACCGCAGGAATGACCGCAGGTAAACCCTCTCAGTCCTGGACTGTTTCTAACGTCAACACCGGTCTACCCTCAGATGTTCTCTCCTGGACTTCCTTTTCTCAGGTCCATCTACCAAAGGTTTCGAGAGTTTGAGTTCCTGGACCGGAGGAAGAGGGTGACAGCTCTGAGAGCAGGAGAGGACCGGGCCATTCTACTGGGCCTCAGCCTGGTCTTCTTCTCCATCATGATGTACTTCATCGTGGGAATCACAATACTGCGCTCCTACTCTGACAGGTAGTATCTTCAACATATCAAATACAGAAAAATGTATTGTTTTTGTTTGGACTCGGTACCAGACAGTCTTTCTGATTCTGATCCTGGTTTTATCTGAAATACCCTCGTAAATATTCAACCTCAGAACAGAGTATTCCTGAGTAGATGTACTACGGTGAAAAATCTGGAAAGAAAGGTCTGTAAGAACTAGTGAGGCACCCAATTTTCAGCCACTGAAAATGGCCCATGTGCATTTTCCGTTTTCAGCCAAAAGACTTACAAAACAACATCCCCATGGCTATACTGAATATGACAGGAAGAAAAGCCTCTTCGTCTTGGCTCCATACAACTCAGACCAGGAGCTCCCCGCGACATTCACTTCACACCAATGGGTTTTAATAGAGAACATTCTCTCTCTTCTTGCCCCGTTTAAGCAGCTAACTAAAGACACCAGCTCCTCCAATGCATCTGTAGCAGATGTTATTCCTTTAATCGCAGCGCTAAAGCATCTTCTAAGCAAAAGAGGTTGAGACCACAGAGTGAAAACAATGGAAAGTCCACTCCTAGAGTCTGTCAGCACGTGTTTCACTCAGATCCTCTGCACTTCGTCACAACTGTATTGATTTTGAATTTTATTTTATTTTATATTTTGCATTGTTGGAATGTGCTAAATAAATATTTTCATAATTTTGTAATTGTTTTATTTTTTGAAATATTAATAATAATTTATTCAATCACATTGCCTTGATTTTATTGAAGTTTAATTCACAGTCATAGCCATAAATGAAATGGTACTAATAATTGGCACAATAATTACTTTTGTTATTTCGGTTTTCGGCCTTGGTTTGGCCTCATTTTCGGTTTTCAGTTTTGGCCAGGAATTTTCGTTTTGGTGCATCCCTAGTAAGAACCTTGGGTTCTGCCTTCATAGTGTAGTTTTCACTGAGATCCACATCTCCACAGAACCGCAGTCTCCCAGTCTGGTCCGACCCATTTTATTCTTAAACATTTAAAGTTGAAAAAAAGAAAAAAAGACAATCAAAAACCAGAAGATAAATAAATACAAATGCCAGTAAAACATCCAGTAAGGACCAGGACCAGGTGGGGGACTGGGTTCTGGGGTTCTGGGGTTGTACCTCGGTCCAACAGCTTCAACCTGAACTGGAACTGTTGTGGCCTGTGTAGTGTGAAGTGACTTGTGTGAACAGGGGCGGGTCCACTGAGAGGAACCATGGTTCTGTGCAGAATCAGAGCCAGAAGATGATCCATGCTGGTGCTGGTCTGTGGCAGTGACTGGTTCTCAACTGGTTCTCCTTCTCCCACAGTGTGTGGACAGAGGAGGCGAGCTGCACCGTCCTAAACTCCACCCTCATGTGGGATGTCAACTGCTCCTACGGCTGTGGGGCAGAATGCTGGAAGAGCTCCAAATACCCCTGCCTCCAGGTCTACGTCAGCGTCAACACCTCAGGGAAGGTGCTGAGACTCCTGCACAACGAGGAAACGCAGGAAAACAACCCTGAGGTCAGTCAACCACTGGTGACATCACACTGATGACATCACCAATAAACACAACACATCATATAAACACTGGTGACATCAACCACTGATGACATTACCACTGACACACCTGAACCAGTGAACGTTCTGCCGCGTGGCATGGCAGCAGAACATGGATAAAATAGTAAAATAGTTAATTTTACACCGGTACATGGATAAAATAGTTTTCATTATAGAGCAACTTTAAGTTGTGTGTTCATTGATTGGTCGTCTGATTGTACATGTGATTGGTCAAGTAATTAGTTAGGCGGCTGCCTTAAACAGACTAGCAAAAGAGTCCCCCACTGCAGCGGTCAAATGACAAAAGAGTCCCCCACTGCAGCGGTCAAAGACAAGCACTAAAGGGTTAATGACGTGTGTGTGTGCGATGACATCTTAAGCTGCTTCCTGATTGGTTATACTTGTGCGATGACATCTTAAGCTGCTTCCTTTGTTATTAATATTTCATTAATTAGTCTGAAAACTTGTTGTTTATTGCAGATGATATTTCTTCATCTGTCCAGTAGATAGCGTCTAACATGAGCTCAACAAACTGCTCTGAATTAAACCTACTTCCTCCTGGACCCGGTTCCTCAGCAGAACAGCTGGTTGGTCGTGGGAATAAAAACCGTTCTTCTCTTTGTCATCCTCAGTGTTTCTTCATCCCTAAGTGTCATAAAGACTACTCCCTCACTCACACCATCATCCAGAACATTTCTGATCGTCTCCGGACTCAGCACACTGTTCACTGCTTTGTGGATCCTTCAGAAAAAATGAACTGTGCTATCCTGACCCAGATATATGGCCCAGTCACTGTCTTCCACTCCCTGCTGTGGCCCACCTGCTCCCTCATTGGAGGAACCCTAATCATCGCCATGGTGAAGCTGACCCAGTACCTGTCTGTCATGTGTGAACACCTGAGGCATGTGAGGATGTGAAAGGGTTAATGAAGCCAGAACTTCCTGTTTGTAAATAGACTGAAGCAGCAGGACGGTGGAAACCTGTCACTGACAGAAGGAATTCTGGGAATCAGAGAAAGAATCAGTTGGTGACAGACAGAAAAAATATGAATAATAATTCATATATATATATATATATATATATCATTATAAATCAAATTTAACTTTGTCCCGTGCCCCGTTTTTAGCGCCCCTGACTTAAGGCGGCTATGTCACGGCCGACAGGTGGCGCTGTGTGATTTGTTGATTTGGAAGAAGAAGAAGAGACGTCGACACCAACGTCACGTGACAGGCATTACTACCGGTTTTGAACTTCTCTGACAGAACGGTCATCTGTTTTCTGTTGCTCTTATTTTTTGTAATTAATTCTTTCACGGTATTGTATTCACAGCAAGGCCTGGACCTTACATGACAGTTAATCGACTTAATGTAAGTGTTTTCGATGTTTTAAATATCGCTAAACACCTGTCCAGTTGTCAGCTAATGCTAACAGCAAATAGTTGCAGTTTTTGTTGAGGGTCAGTACGTCCATCTATTTGTTAATCAGTTATAAACACAAAAGGGAACATGAAATCAGCTGTAAATGCTAAAACTAGTTAGCTTTTAGTATTAAAGTTATTTGTAAATTAAAAATACAAAACAACTAAAGAAGTAGAAGTGCAGTGTGTATCTGTATATAGTATTACATAACAAATATTTGAATAAACACTCAAATAAAAACACTTTTTTCTTGTCGCTGACTGTTAGCAGTGAGTTTGTGTCAAACTGCGGAACAAGAAAACGGGTACCGGTGTCAGCTATTGCTAACTGCTAATTAGCTCTCTCTTCCTCCTCCCTCCTGATGCCGTAGTTCAATTCGGGTTGTTCTGTGCTCACTGAAGCATCATGGCGGCTCTGCTGCACCAGACCCTTTTCGTTTCTTCAGTAAAAAGAAGCGGATCCTCGATGTGTTTACGGGCCGCGGTTCTTAGTAGCGCTATCCAAAGGCATCGTCGACTTTACAGCGAGTATTTACACCGCAGTGTGGTTCCCACCATGCACTTCCAGAAGAGTTTACCCAGGTAAGCAGCTCTGCTTGTCCGTCAGTATCTCTGCCTGTCTGTCTGGTCAGGATTTGTGTCACTGAGAAATTAAAAATTACCGGTAAATGTAAATGACCTGACCCACATACACAGTGGGATGTGGGTGAAAGTTCAGTTTATTTAACCAGTATTACCACTAGGTGGAGGTAGTAAACACTTGTCCATGTACAGCAGATGTCAGTAGTACTTTACGTTTATAATCTCAGGTGTTGTAACGGCAGCACAAATGTAAAGAAAAAGAATATTTTAAGAGAGGATGTTTAATAATACATCGTTGTAAATATGTTCGACTGTGGGACATAAATGGTCTTTATTAGCTGCATTAGTCTGATGACCTTTTGGGGAAAAGAAAGTTTCCTTTAAAGTTGTTTTTACAATTTTTCCAGGTTACCTGTACCTAAACTGGAGGTCACCATGATGAGGTATTTGGCAGCACAGCGCCCTCTGCTGGACGATGAGCAGTACAGGTATTTAAAACGTTAGACTTTTTAAATGGTTTACAAACGCCAACGACGATGACAAGAAACACTGTTTGTTGTGCGTGTGTGTGTTGTCTCAGAACCACAGAGAAACTGACGCAGGATTTT